ATTGATTTAGAACATGATGTGAGGATTGATAATTTTTTGTCTGCAACTTCATAATTTCACACTATTTTATTTCTTATTTGTTATATTTTATTCATATTTATTTTATCAATAAAGTCACATGTATAAATTACCATAATTATAAATTGTATTGTAATGAGAACCTAAGAATGATGATGGTGTATTCGAAAGTACTTTTTACAAGTTGTGTAATATTTAAGGTTGTGAGCGAAACTCCCCCAAAAATCAATTGACAGAGTTTCGATAGGTTACACATTAATTGTCAGAGTTTTGACAAGGTATATGCTAATTGTTCATTAGAGTTTCGACAGAGTTTTGACAGTCACTAAGAGGTTTGGGAAGCAACCTTAGTAATATCATTGGTAAATATACATTTGGATTTCCTTGATGGTTTAGCTTCTTTTAAAAAAAAAGTGTCAAGAAACCTTGTTCAAGTGAGATACTTTAGTAGATAATTAACAAGAAATTATAATTACAACAATTTTAATAAACAAATTGACGTAATTATAAAAAAATATATTTAGGTTAATATTTATAATTAACTACAAAACTAATTGAACATTTTCTATTCTGATGATATTTTAATTTCTTACATAGGCTGTTATAAACTTATCAAAAAAGTTACACTGATTAAACTTATATAGATTATATACACACACACATATATATATATGAAGAGTAATAATCATGATGGTTATGAGATGATTCAATATCATGTTCAGAGTATTCAAATCATTATTAGAAAAATCATCATTTCTATAATCATCATCAGAAACCATAAACAATTCATCTGTTTGTTCTTGAATAATTGGAATTGCAATACTTGTAGTTTTAAATTTTTTGTTTGAATCTTGAATATTTTCTAATCATTCTAATCTCTGAAATTCTCCTTTCATTTGACTCATAGCAAAGACCTTTTCAGACTATAATAAAAAAATTAGATGATTTAATAATTATAGTCAAATATATAAAAAAAATATAAAATTCACATACATCCAAAAGATTGTGTGGAAAAAATCCATTTCAGAAGAGCCTTCTCACAGAAGCATTATTATGCATATTGCAAATACTTTGATAGAAAAAATACTCAAATCTGGTGTATATGCTGAAACAAAGTCCCCAAAAGCCAAATACACCATCATTAAATTATTTTAATGAAATATTGTTAAAAGGAAAATTTTGCCTGATAATTTTATAATTCACCTAACAAAGTATCAAAAGCTTTTTTAAACCATACATACACAAAAATAACATATCATCCATTCACTGAGTTTGCAATAGAAATAGATATATTATCTTGAAGGAAAATTTTGTCATGATATTCAGGATGAAGAATGAAGGATAATAATAATAACGGTTGCTCCCATATTTGCCAACGTTTTTCTAGATGAAATAATAATTCTTACACCTAAATTTTGGTCAGGATATTCTTTCCACATCTTGCAAACAATGTAGTACATCATGAAGACAAGCATTACCTGTCTGTTTGTAATTTGTTGAGTGCACCACAAAAGCTTTTCTAATTTTTTAATATCCCTCCACCAATCTTCATTGGCAATTATTCTACAGGTTTCAAGTGGCAATTCTCTATCATTATCATCATTCCCTGTATAATTATCATCTGCTTCAAATTCACTAGGAGCATATTTTGAAACAAGCAACTAAACAAATATAAAAATTAATTCTTATTGAATAAAAAACCTTTAATGATATTTTTTAAATACCTTTAAAGCAAACTTAACTCTCAACATACTGGAGTAGCAGTGGTAATGAGAATTCCAGCAAATAGCACATGGAAGAAGAAGTGCAAAATATTTGTTATGTTTAAACTTTTGTTCATCATGTAACTCTGCCATAAAGTAAACTGATCTGTTTAAGAAAAAAATGATTTGAATTGCCTTTTCAGATGAAACAACTAAACTAGATGTTTCTTTAAAATCTCTCCAACAATTAAATTGGTTTGATATACAAAACAAGGATCAAAAAAAAACATCATGTCATTCTGGTGCCAGCCATTTTCTACAAAATATATAAGTTAAACTTACAAATAATTGAATAAAAATTTATTTTAAAAAAAATACCTTGCTGCTTGATTTTGTGATGCTTAATCAGTAATCATAGCATTATTTTTGGTGTTTAGTTGTCCAAAAAATTTAATGATAATTCTTTTATGTTTCCCAAATTAAAATTTATCCATGTGAAATAATTAAAACTGAACCTAAAATTTCCTACTTATTAATGTTTTTCCACCCATCAAAGCCTATTGTAACACCAAAAAAATCCTTCTACGCAGTATCAATTAAACTGTTTAGAATTACTAGTTAAAATATGACCAGCTAATATTTTACAGCTTGGTAATCTCAAACCTGGACTTGCAAAATTAAATAATATTTGACTTGATTTTTTGTCAACCCATCTGAATGACCAATCATTATCTATGGTAGAATTCAATACAAGCTTCTCCCAATGTTCTTTATCTTGTTTAGAAAGAGGAACAGAATGAGCAAAATAATTACTTATTTTTCTTTTTTTATTACCTGATTTTTCTACAGATAAGGCTGATGATGAACTTGATAAAATTGAAAGACTTGAAAATTCATTGATGCATATTGAAGATGAAGAATCAAGTTCAGGACCTCAAAATATAAAATTGTAAGTTTTATTTTGCTTAATAATAATATTTATTTCAATAAAAAAAGTTACTAAAAAATTACCACCATCATATTGATTATTCACATCTCCAGGAAAAAGAATTTTCTCTTGTTCATGTTCAGTATATTGTTCATTTTTAAGTGAGAAGTTACCAATTTTTTAGTATTTGTTAATTTAGTTTACAAAAATGACAAAGTGCATAATGATTGGATTTATTTGACCTTTTTATTTAATACTGTGATATTCAGTGAGAGAATGTTTTATGGGCAGCATTTTAAAAAAAAATTTTTTGTGAACCCGGTGATTAATGTCCATTGGGCTATACATAGACAAACTCAATAAGTCGGATTTGGCCTAACTCGGAGAAAAATTTCCAGCCCTTTTTTTTTAATTTAAAAATCTTGATAAGTTGGCACCAGGGCTGGAAATAGGATCTGAAAAAAAATGGAAGTTTCTCCTGAATGCTAAAAATTTTCCAGAAGAAAATTTTTTGGTGCTAAAATTTTTAAAAATTTGTTTATTTTATTCTTCTGTTTTTACTTTGAAGAAATTTACTAAGAGCATCACTAAAATCATAACCAAATAAATCATTGCCTTCTAAACCAACCATCATTAATAAGTGCAATATGTCATTTTCCATTGAATTACGTAAATCTGTTTTGATAATATTCTGTTTGCTAAAACCTCTTTCACAATCTACACTAGAAAATGGAATTGAGTACACTATTTCCATAAGTTTTAAGATATTTGGATAACTATCTAAATAATTATCATATAATAAAGGAAATAAACCATCTATAGCTAAATATTTATGATTTGAATGTACCACTATTTTAAACCCAAACCATTCTTCTTGAACAGCAACAGAATCTATAAGACCTAAAGGATAATCTGGTAAATATTTTTTCCCATAAACTGAAACTAATTCTTCCAATTCTATTCACCATAAAGCATTAAAGATTCCTTGTCTTTTGGCCATTCTTGAGGATTAAGAATTTTCATTGCAGATAATAATTTTGGATTTGGAAATCTTTCCTTAATTTCTACGATTATTGATGATGCAAATTCACAAATGTCTACCATTAAATCATCCTCATAGCCATTATTAAAAATAAGCTTATGGTTTCCAATGTAAAGATTAGATGTTGGTGAAATGTTTGTTAAAAATCCACTTAAATTATATCCTAATCTAGGGTTGTCTTCTAAATATTCATGTTGGATTTTTTCTAATGTAGCCTCAATAGTGGGTTGAAGATCGGAAAATCTTATAAAACGTTTTTGAAAAACTTTTGATAATTCTGACAAATATCCCAAAATATCATAAAGAAAATAAAGGAATGCTAATATTTTCCAATCACATAACTTTTGATAAAGCTTCAATATTGGTGGTTTTTTTTTAGGTGTTGCATTTGATTAAGTTTCAAAAATTGTATCAAACAATGGTTCAACAGATAAGCAAATACTTTTGACAGCATCATACCAGGATAACCAACGAATATCATAGATCTGTTTAACTTTTAATAGAGGATGATCTAAAAATTTTTGATAATGTTTCAATAAATCACAACGTTTACTTGATTTGCTAAAAAATAAATAAACCTTCTTCATGACAGATTCTACACTTTTACAGAATTCAACTTGTTCTTGAGCATCCCCACATGCCAATGACAATCTATGAGCAATGCAATGTGTAATATAAAGAAAATGATTGATTTGTGCAATTCTTGTAGCTACACCTGTATTTTTTCCCATCATTACACTTGCTCCATCTGAAGCAAATGAACAAATTTTTTTAACAATATCTATAAATATAAACATTATTTTTTTAATTTAAACTATAGAAAAATATTATGATAAAATTGAATTATAAATGTTAAACAACTAACCATTTTTATCAAAAAGATTGATTATAGCATTATAGAGTGTTATAGCATTTGATTCTTCCACTTGCAAAAGCTTAAGATAGCGTACTTTAACAATTCCCTTATAGCAATACTTAACATATATAATAAAATGTGAATTTGTGGAAATATCAGTACTTTCATCAACCATAACTCCAAATGCTTTACAATTTTTCAATTCATTCCAAATAACTAGTTCAATAGATTCAGATATTGATTTTAATAACTCTCGTCCAGATTTGTTATTTTCATATGAAATAGTATTGTTTAAAGGAAATAGATCAGGAACTTGAAGAGCACGACCAAGATTAATAAGACTTGGAAATTTAGAAATTGGGATATCTTCTTTTGCCATCCAGTAAATCATTTTCATTATATTAATTATATGTTTGTTACCATTACTAATGGCTTTTTTGGAAGACTCTTGCATGGTTATTCTTGCCTTTTCTAAAAGCAAAGCATCTTTATGTTGGTTTGAAAGTGCATGAGTTGCTAGAGCAGTAGATTTGGAAGCATTCTTTGATCCTAAATATTAACATTATAACATTAGTAAATTAATAATTGCAAAATGCAAAATTAATTAATTATATTTATTTGTTACCTTTTCCTCAAATTGATTTTTTTTTCCATGTGCTTTACAAATTGTGCAAAACATTCTCTTTGTTGCTGCATCATATTTTAACCATTTATATATGTTTAACCATTCATGCTGAAAACTTCCTCCTGATTTTTTAAAATGCACTTTTTTATTTGACATTTTAACATGGTTTACACTTAATTCACAATTTTTTCTTTTTTTATTTGATTTTTTTGAAGTATCATCATCATCTGAACCTTGAATTGTCAAATCATCTGAATCTTCTATATCTGATTCATCAATATTTGTTTCATCTATAAATGCTTCATCCCAAATTTCAGCAGTCAAGTTATCTAATTCTTCTTGTTCTATACTATTTATTTATAATTTATTTTTTGAATAAGGGAAAATAAAACACGTAAATATATATATTTAAAATGTATACATGTATATTTTTATATTTAATAATTTAATAGCAGTTTTTTTGAAATAAATATTTAAATTGAGTCAATACTTTTCTTCTGAAAATTCAAAAGATACAAATTGTGATTCTGGCTGTTCTTTTCTAAAATATTGAAGTAATGACATATATATATATATATACAGTATTAGTATATTAAATTTGGTATATTTTTTTAAAAAATTTTTTTATGCATATGGAAAATCTGTATATACAAAAAAAAAATATATAAAAAAAAAGGAAAAATATCCGGCAACTCTTTTTTTTCCAGAAGTTAAAATTTTTAAAAGGAAAATCCGGATTTTTAAAGTACTATTTCCAGCCCTGCCGATCAATTTTTGTGCATGTTGTACAAAATTTTTTGAGGAATTGTGCATGTATGGACAAAAAATTGTAAGTAGTTTAGTTTTTTTGATTTTTTTTGTGCATTATACATAGAAAATGTAATAATGCAAAAAATTTTCATTGAATTTGTGCACTATATTTAAAATTTTTGTTGAGAGTCTGCACAAAAATATTTATTTCACTGTGCACATGAATTTTATACACTGCCCCCAGCCACAAATTTAACCATCACATCACTGATAAATGTCACATAGGTTGTATTGCTATTTTGGTAGGGTTCTGTATATAATATTTTCCTTTAAAAAATGCTTACTTTCAATAATGAACTTTTATGCAGTTGTTTATTGGATTCTTGCTTGGATTCTTACTTCATTATAAAACTTACTGATACATGTAAAGATCCCAAGAAAAGTACTAGATGAAGTATTTGATTATGAATATCTATATTATTGCCATATAATCTTTTCAAAGTAATAGCTTTACAAATATAATATTGACCAGGAAAATCAGCCAGAACTGCAATGACATTCTTATTTAAATATTCCTAAAGCTCTGGTAATTCAACAAATGGTGTTACAACTTCAAGATAATTAGATAAAGATTTCAAATCTTGAGGAACAAAATTAACAAGTTTTATGGTATCCATTTTCTTATTTTCATGTAGATTACTCTGTAAATAAAGCTCTGCATGAATCAATGAAATTCAAATTCAAATTCAAATCAAATCAAATCAAATCAAATCAAATCACCTAATTTTTGATTAGAATCAATTCAACTCAAATTGAATCAAATTTGAATTGTACCCTGATTTGATTTGATTTGATTTGAACTATCCAAATATTAAATATATAATTTGATTCGAATTGTTTCAATTCAATTTGATTTGAACTAAGGTTGTGGGCGAAACCTCTTAATGACTGTCGAAACTCTGTCGAAACTCTAATGAACAATTAATGTGTAACCTGTCGAAACTCTGATGATTGGCGAAAACCCCAAATGCGAAACTCTGCCGAAACTCTAATAAACAATTAATGTGTAACCTGTCGAAACTCTGTTGATTGATTTCTGGAGGAGTTTCTCCCGCAACCTTAATTTGAACTGATTCAACTCCTAAACTTGGATGAAACTAATTTTAATGGCTGAAATTGAGAGTTTTTTAAAATAAAGTAGTTTGATTTAGATACTTATTATGTAACTAAAAAATATGTTATATTATATTGGAAAGATTTCTAATAGATTATCATTATAGAAATTTCACCAAACAAATATGCAAAGCAAAACATTTAAATTCTTGTATCTCTCTAAATCAGTTTCAACCATTTTTCACTGAGGAAGAAATACATAAAATAGAGTGGAGGTGCACATGGTTATCTTTGAGAACCAGTTCTTCTTCTAGTACATCTTTCAAAGACAGTAGAAGGAAGGCCTTCAAAATCAAACTGTTACTAATGAACTACTAGTACTAGAAATTTTAAAGAAATGTAGATCTGATTTATATGGGCAATTTACAAATTGTCCTAGGTGTAATTCAGCTCCTGAAAATTATGATAATTTATTGTGGTGTTCTATGGCTTTTGATCATCAAACATATGTATCAATATAACAAATTATTATGTGTGGATTTTTTTAGTATCTTTATCATATATTTCAACACATTGTAAATGTTGACAACAAAATTCAACTAACAATATATTTTTTTGAAAACATGAATTATAAAAAAGAAATTTCTATTAATTTATCAGTTGCATGTAAATTTTTATGGTAAAATTTAATAATAAATTGAATAGGGTCATCCTATATACAGAAAGGTTCTTTTTATGAAATATACAGAACCTACATGACAAGTAAGAATTAATTTTTGAAGTTGGTAAGCATTCCATAACTCCTACCACCCCAAGTCTCACAAGGTTAATCGTCACGTATAGATAACTACCACAAGGATGTTACAAAAATTTGAACTATTTCCTTTTTTATATAATAAATTTCCATTTTTGGTAGGGTACTGTATATTTCAAAAAAAGAACCTTTCTGTATATAGGATATTCCAATTGTGAATAACTTTAAGCCATGATAACTTTTTTTTTTTATAATAAAATCAAACAAAACTTTTTATAGTTTTATTGTTTAAGTCTTCTATAATAAAGTTACAGAAAGCTTTTTTCCCTATCTCATTTGGTTATAAAGTTTTCCTATTAGCAATCTTTTTTCAATTTCTTTAGGATATATAAAAAAAATTTTTTAACTGAACAATCAATCTCAAGATGGATAAACCAATGGTTCTCAATCAACTCAGTAATATCAAGGTAATACAATCCAAGGATTCCATTCCAACACAAATTAAATTACGATTTAATTTGTTAAAAGGAAAGTATATGATGCTTAATGGCTTAAGTGTACATGGGCATTTAATCAACTATAAATATATAGAATATTATTGTTATTTAATTATTCACATATGTATGATTATTTGATATTACTTAAATAAAAAAAAATAAAAAAAAACTCTCTATAATCTAAAAGCTTAATCTATTTACTATAATTAGAGTTCTAAACGAGTTGGGTCAGTGGTTCAACCCAACCAGACTTGAACTTTTAAACAGTTGACCCGTCCCATCCCATCAGGTCAACAGGTCACAGATTAAGAAAATTACAAATGTAGATATATTAATTGATTTAAATATATACAGTACACACAATATGTTCACTATTACTGCCACTTTTAAGAAATCTGTCCAACATCATTGCTTGTTTATTTACATTAACATCAATTTTATTTTTATGATTCTTAAGATGATGACTTAAATTTGAAGTAGAGCCACTATTCATATTATATTTCCCATGTCTTTATTTAATATAATTAACACAATTAGTAAATTTTTTTAAAAAAAAATAAGTAATGCAATTTATTTTAATTACTTACAAGCAATATTTACATTTAGCCCATTTTATGTCTTTCTCATCCATTTTGTTTATCAAAATGTGTCCATATTGACTTTTATTCTTAGAAATACCAATGGTCTTGATAGAATTAATCCTGCCACTATCACCATTGCCACCACAACCACTACCATTATCATGCTCATTATCATTATCATTATCAATATCATCATTATCATAATTACAACCACCATAATTGTCATTACCACAATCATCATAATTGTTATAATTGTTAATATTTCCTTCAGGTTCAATGTAAACACTCTCTTCAGATTCTAAAAAGGTGCTTTCTCTGTCTAAAATAATTACTTTATCATTGTCATTGTAATTATTGTAATTGTCAATCTCAATTCTTCTTTTTGACATTATTAATTAATTTAATTAATTTATGCTTATGCTGTGGTTTTTTTTTTTAATTGAAAATAATATATTAATGAATGAGATAATAATAATGAAATAGTGTTACCAGAATTAGATTTTGACACAGATCTTTTGGTCGAATCTTTTAATTCCAGGACAATCTCATTGTGAAATTGATTCAATATCTTATATTTCATGTTGAGACTTTTTACCTCTTCAATTTAACCTTTTTTCTTGTTTTCCTTCTGATTGTTTCATTATTATGTGTCATTTACCTCCTTCTTCATTATTATATTATTTGGGTTATGGTGATTTTGCATTTCATGATAAACCACATGGTTTATTAACATTAAATGGGTTAGCTTTAGAGCAATTTCAATTTTTTAATCAAGATAGTGTAAAAGATCAATTGAAAATAATCCTGGGAAAAAAATAATAATAATTTAAATTTAGTGGAAAGAAAAATTACTGTTTTTTCACATATGGTGTATTTGAATTTTGGGTATTTTTCATATTTTTTGGGGATGGTATATTTAAATCTGGGTATAATTTTCTAAAAAAAGTGGGCAGAGGAAAGGTGATTTATTATTAAACCTCAAATGTACCATCTACTAAGATTGTTCGTGGTCCTGTGTCCACTATGCTGCGCAATTAATGATTTTGTGTAATTGTTAATTTAGTAATGATATTCAGCCCAATCAAAATTCTTTTTTACGTGATAAAATAAAAATGTGATTGACGCAACTCATTACCAAATACGCAAATGTCCGCTATGATCCATGCTCCATTGTACACGATTATCCAAACCTTTACTAATTTTGATTTCCTCTGTTTGTGATTATCCCTTAAACGGTCAGAGTATTCTTTAATGGTAACACGAAATCACGACCTCACATTCTTATTGGTCAATTTAATGATCAGCAAAGTAAAAAAGTCAAATCGGCCAACTTTTAAAGAAGATTGTATAAAACCACAAGGACAACACCGAAAAATTTTTTACAGACCTGATCAGCTATATCTCAAGATCATTTTCATATTAGAAGTGATATGCTTAGAGAAAACTTTATGTATCAGAAAATTTTTATTGGCTATTAACCGTTTAAGGGATACTTATATCTAACACCCCAATTATTGACCTCTGAAAATTTTGGTAACATCAATGTTCACTTTGTCTGGTTTTGTTGCAGCATGCCCCAGATGTAAAATCAAAATAATTTATAATTTAATTTTCTTATTATTATTAATATTTCTATAACTTTAATTCTATTTAAATCAGTGCCATTGAATTATGAACCATTTCATTTTGTTCATTCAGAGGTTAGTTAGTCTCATTCAACAATTAATAGTTGATAAATAAACAAAGAAATAAGATGCATAATTAAATAAATCAATTACAATAGAGATTTAATGAATCCAGCAGAATCACTATTGATACAAATACCATCATTATTAATGTTTCTAATTATTAAATTATTTTTTATAATTTCTATTTCTTGTATGCTGAAATTACAACATTCTAATAAATAATTTTCTACTGATTTATATTTTTTTTTAAATTCTTTTAAAGTTAAAATCATTGATTCATATCTAAATAGTCAGAAATATATATATATTATTTTTAATAAATTGGTAGATTTAACAGATTAATTTGGTTATTTGAATTAGTTATTTACCTTGCAGATAACATTGATCTAATTTCTTCTTCATTGTAGTAACTGTCAGTATATTTGTCATAGTATTTGAATTTTTGGGTATAAATGCCTTGAAGAAGTAAGAGAGTGTATGATAGATGGAAGAAAAGAAATGTCCACACATATATTAATCAATTAATAAATTTATTAAAAATATATATTATTGTTACATCAACACATATACACTACACATTACCTCTGGTATTGAAATCAGTTATTTCATATTCCCTAGCAACAATTTCATCATTTATGCCACATAATTTCAATATTAACATTGCAAATACTCCTGTACGATCTTTACCTGCTTTACAATGTACTGCAAATGGAATATCTGGTTTATTCAACACATTTAAAAATATTTGACGATATGCTTCTTTGCCTTCTTCCAGAATTGCTAAATATGCTATCAATAATATACCAATAATAATATTACTATTATTATTAGTATATACATAATTTCTAGAAATACATAATACTATTAATATGTTAATTAGTGGTCAGCTAGTTCAGTTGGTTACCTTTTGCATAACCAACATATCCATTCACATATAATTTTGATCGTTCATATACTTCTTGAGGTGAAAAATCTATTTCTTTAAATACTGGGACATGTGTACGTGTTATACCTTCTATTTCTCTAAATAATTATAACAATCATTAATATATATATATTGTGACATATTGATTGATAGATTATAGATATATTACCTAATGCCAAATTTTTTGATTTCAGGATTTGATCTTAGATCAAATATTTGTTTTATATTTAATTTATGCAACGTTAATATACCTTGTTCTGTTATTGAAGAAATGCTAATAAATAAATAAATGATCGAGTTAATATATGAAATTTTATATACAAGTAAATTTATATATTATAATGCTTATATTACATTACTTACTCTCCACATCTAAAAACATATCTTTCTCTAATATAACAATCGTGATTGTAACCACCATCAATACCAATACCAATACCAACACTACCATTACTACTACACTTATATCCACCTAAATCTCTAAAATTGCTAACACCATCAATTTGAATGTATCTAGGTATATGACTGATCCATTGATTTTTATACAAAAAGTTGAAAGATTGATATTCTTGTGAAAAATATTTATTGATAATATTAACTATTTCTTTTTTATGCCTTGTAAAATTATGTGTAGCCCCTGATATCAGCCTTAGTGTACTATTGTGAATTATATTATTGTAGATTGCTGAATCTTCAACTGGTACTACCTATTATATAACATCAAAATGATCAATTGACTAAAACATAAAACTTTGAATGGTTTTTATTATAGAAAGAAAATGAAAAACATTAAAAAAATACTTCATCGGCTGTTCCATGAATCACTAGTACAGATGTTGAGTTAGGAATTCTTTGAGCTATCAAAAAAAATTTTTTATTGAAATTTAAAATTATTACATGTTTAAATAAATCTATCAATCTATCATGTATAATTATTTACTTGCCAAGAGTAGTAGTATCCCAATTCATCCAATGATCAAATTCTTTTTTGGTAATTTTCATTGCAAAACCTTTACCATTTTTTATTGAAGTCCAGTTAGTCCATCCTTTTTTCTCCAAATCTCTCAACTGTTCATTATTAAATCGTTGGATTAAACTTTGCATCCTAAAACGTCCTGATATTAGCACCAAATATGGAATATTTAAATTTATGGTTGATGCATAATATAACGCTGCTAGTGCTCCTTTATTATTTATTATTAATTATAAATTAATATCTACCTTATAAATAAATAAACGATATAATTAAAGTTATATGAAAATACCCCTTGAATGTCCTATTAATGTATATAATGAATAACCATATACTTTTTCCAAGTATTTGTAAACTGTAATTATATCTTCTGCGTCTTCTTCAATATTTGAAAATTTGGGTACTCCATCACTTTCTCCATTTCCACGAAAATCTAATCGAAATGTATCAAATGGTAGCACTTTGGCTAACTTTACTTGATATATATAATTCCTATGTTCTATATATTTACACAAATAATAGTATTTGAATCATAAATATAATATAATATATTACATTATTACTATATATGCGTTTATTTTTTACAGAACTAACCTAAAATTCCATGACAAATAATTCCAAGTTTGTTTCGATTAATTTCATCAAATTTTCTTTCAAGTACTCCAACTATAGTTTGACCTTGTGTATTTTTAATTCTTAAAGTTATTGCTTTCGACCTTTTCATTTCCTCAAATTTAGAAATTCAAAAAAATGCTTCAACTATTGGGGTATTCGATATTGGTTGATTGACAAATCTAATTAATGTCAATAAGATAAATCTATATGTGCGGATTTTTTTATGGTAACCCCCTTTTTTTCTGTGTGACGAAAGTTTTTTATTTATGAATTTTGATACTATATATAAGAATTACATGTTTCTTGCAAATTTCGGAAACTTTAAGCTCTTATTTCTTGTGCAAAACTTGTCCGTCTGCAAAAAAATTAAATTGCTTCGATGTAAAACCATCTGTAGAATACTCATACAGAGAGAATATTTTAATTTTCTATATTTTTTTTAAAGTTGTAATAGAGCAAAAGGTACTGCAATAAAGGAAATTTCGAATGGATATTTTACAATATTGAACCTTTTAAAACACAAATAACTCTCTGAGTTATTAAAATACTATTTATTTACTATCTTTTCACATGTTTGATACCTATATCGTTGAAATTGGAGAAGAAATAACAATTTGAAAACTGCACATTTTATTATGTTTCTTGCAAATTTCGGAAATTATATAAGTGGTATGCAGATCATTAAAAAAAATTTACATATACCAATCAATATATGACATTAATTAGTTTTGATTTTCTTAGAATGTCGCACACCCCAATAATTTGTAAAAAAAAAAAGTATAATCCTGGACACCCTAACCTTGGACTCTGTCAAAAAATAAATTGTTTTTTGTTTTTCCAAAAAAAAAAACCAATCAAATAACAAACTTCTTTTTTAAAAATATTTTTTAAAAATGCCAAATAAAAGCAATGACAATAAAAGAAGACAAGAAAATGATCAAGAAAACATCACTGGGTAAGTGTTTTAAGAATAAGGATGGTGGTAGTGGTTATCGTCTGCCACTCATCATTACTCTAGTTATTAACATTTAATTTATTTATTATATAATTGTGATGAATCTATTTCTAATTTTTAAATAAATAAAATAATTAATCTTTTCTCTTGCATTTGAATACTTTTAGACATAATTTCTTGAATTTTTATGAAAAAAAAAGTAATGATTTTGAATATAAAAAATGTTGAAAACCCAAATTGCCAAAATAGTTCGAGCTTTGAGAAACAGTTTGGGCTAGAAACCTTACTTGATTGTCGGTAAAGTGTCCAGGTCCACATATAATTTATCAAATTGTCATTATCTCTTTTCTTCATACTCGCAACTACATATTCACCTTTGTTGTCTTATCCTCTTCCTTTAAACTAAATTGAATAATAAACATCAAATGAAATTTTTTTTTTATGTATCGAATATAAATATCATCAAAAATTTGTTGTCATTATAGATTATGTGACATTGCATTGCAAATGAATGGTGATTTATTTCCAAAAATTCTTAGTAATAGTAATGTATGCAGTTATTTATTTCAATTAGATGCGAAAATTATTCTAATCTTGAATCATTGTTCCTAAGTATGAATTTACTGTTATAGATTTAGTTCGTTCCCAACAATAAATCTTTTCACTAATCCCTGATTAGTCTTGGGTATTTAGTTACACTGCCTTGAAATTTATGTAGAATTTTGTTTTATAACTGGTATTTTATTATTGTTGTTATATGTGTAAATGGCAGAAGATAAAAGATAAGATAAATTTACAAGATTATTGTATTAATATAAATGTCTTTTCTTCAACTCAAGATTCTTTTACACTACTTTGGAGATGTTAATTCCAAGTTTATTAACATTTCGAGCTGCTCTTTGTTTGGTTGAGCTTGGCAAATAGCACAGATTTTTTTTCTTTCTCAGAAGATTTTTCGTCAATTTTGTTATTTTTGAAACTGTTAATAACACATATGTTTCTTGCAAATTTCGGAAATTATATAAGTGGTATGCAGATCATTAAAAAAAATTTACATATACCAATCAATATATGACATTAATTAGTTTTGATTTTCTTAGAATGTCGCACACCCCAATAATTTGTAAAAAAAAAAAGTATAATCCTGGACACCCTAACCTTGGACTCTGTCAAAAAATAAATTGTTTTTTGTTTTTCCAAAAAAAAAAACCAATCAAATAACAAACTTCTTTTTTAAAAATATTTTTTAAAAATGCCAAATAAAAGCAATGACAATAAAAGAAGACAAGAAAATGATCAAGAAAACATCACTGGGTAAGTGTTTTAAGAATAAGGATGGTGGTAGTGGTTATCGTCTGCCACTCATCATTACTCTAGTTATTAACATTTAATTTATTTATTATATAATTGTGATGAATCTATTTCTAATTTTTAAATAAATAAAATAATTAATCTTTTCTCTTGCATTTGAATACTTTTAGACATAATTTCTTGAATTTTTATGAAAAAAAAAGTAATGATTTTGAATATAAAAAATGTTGAAAACCCAAATTGCCAAAATAGTTCGAGCTTTGAGAAACAGTTTGGGCTAGAAACCTTACTTGATTGTCGGTAAAGTGTCCAGGTCCACATATAATTTATCAAATTGTCATTATCTCTTTTCTTCATACTCGCAACTACATATTCACCTTTGTTGTCTTATCCTCTTCCTTTAAACTAAATTGAATAATAAACATCAAATGAAATTTTTTTTTTATGTATCGAATATAAATATCATCAAAAATTTGTTGTCATTATAGATTATGTGACATTGCATTGCAAATGAATGGTGATTTATTTCCAAAAATTCTTAGTAATAGTAATGTATGCAGTTATTTATTTCAATTAGATGCGAAAATTATTCTAATCTTGAATCATTGTTCCTAAGTATGAATTTACTGTTATAGATTTAGTTCGTTCCCAACAATAAATCTTTTCACTAATCCCTGATTAGTCTTGGGTATTTAGTTACACTGCCTTGAAATTTATGTAGAATTTTGTTTTATAACTGGTATTTTATTATTGTTGTTATATGTGTAAATGGCAGAAGATAAAAGATAAGATAAATTTACAAGATTATTGTATTAATATAAATGTCTTTTCTTCAACTCAAGATTCTTTTACACTACTTTGGAGATGTTAATTCCAAGTTTATTAACATTTCGAGCTGCTCTTTGTTTGGTTGAGCTTGGCAAATAGCACAGATTTTTTTTCTTTCTCAGAAGATTTTTCGTCAATTTTGTTATTTTTGAAACTGTTAATAACACATGTTTCTTGATTGATAGTAATAAAAGGTCTACAATTATACTTTTATTTTCCATTAATGTACGATAATTATAATAAATATTGATAATGCAATAATAAAAATGAATTATGTAATTATTACTTGTAAGATTCATATAGCTTGAAATTTTACTCGTTTTAAGAATATTGGGACTAAGTTGGCATGAGAAGCCTATTACAGTTTCTCATCACCTGGGTTATTAAATAAAAAAATTTTTGTCTAGAATACAAGTTATTCTATAACAATCTACTCAGACACATCAAGTAATCAATGTTGGGATTTATGTAGAAAAAATATCTTCAAGCATGCAAGCTATTCCTACAACATTTGACATACAATAGATTCTTATATATATTCATCTAGAAAAAATTTGGAGTTGTTATTATTATTAATAGAACAGAAAATAATCTTGGTGCCAGTTTTTTTGATAACAATATTCATGAACTTCTTTACCATAATTATTTTGCATGAATTTGACAACCCACTGTTGGGGTATTTTATTTTCTGCATTGTCTTGTTGTACCTCTTCTAATAGAAAAAAAAGTTTTGTCTCATGCAATTGCTTTTTATAAATAAATTGGTAATCTTTATTATCACAGCTTTTGAAGGAGTGTGGATAAGGAAAATGAGACTGTTGTTCAATATCCAATTGGTCTGGTCCCACTGAGTCATAATAAGTTTTAGTTCAGCCAACCCAGCTTTTAATGCATCAAACATGATTAGGATGCTTATGAGGTGATCATGGTGGCATAGAATAGGCAACAAAGGTATCATGGAAGTAAGAGGCTCAATTATAATTTTTTTCCCCAAAAACAGCTCCAGAGATCCCAAGCAAGGTGCAAAAGAAAACAAGGATTAAGATATCTCTCACAACCTCGTATCATTGGAATATATTTTCCATAAGAACTACAAGCTTGTCTGTGTAGGTCATCTCCTCCCATTCCAAGCTCATTTTTTTGCTTCTAAGATCAAAAGAAGCATGTTGACTTCCTTCAACTGTGTATAAAAATTTGTCAGAACTCATGTTCTGCATACGTATGTTTAATCATCTAGAAAAGTTTGACGCATACATAAACACAACAAATTGTCTATATTATATATGATAATTACCATAGTAATTACCCATGATTTGTTTTTTACCATGGTAAAAACCAACACTAATAACTTTCATCAATTACAATGTATATAATATAATACGGATGTAACTTACAATTAGATGGCCCGAATTCTCATCAGGATAACTTGGTGGATTTATCAATTTATTCGCTTATAATATCTAACACCTCCTGAGATATGAGACCTAACCTAATTTCATTTAATATTTCCAAGAAAAGAAATTTAATTGGATCATTCATTAAACACACACATATGAATGTAGATGGATTTACTGCTGATAACACAATTGATAATTGTAATTTTACATTTATACATCAGTTCCAAGATGTTGCATTGAAGCAAAATTTGGTATTAACACCGTTTAGAAGGGACAGTTGATAGTTGCAAAAAATCTTCTAAAAGTACAAGGTGATATTAAATGGTTTAGAAGAATTGTTAAATTAATTTTTTTATATTAAAGTCAAAAAAAAAGAGAGATTACCAAATGGTGACGTTGCAAATAATTCTGCATGAAACATTGATATTATATCGTTAACATGTGTCAATAAAATAAATAAATATAAATTCGCTTTCATCAATTATTGGTGCTTTGGTGAATTTCTATTTAACGAAATTATTCTTTGAATAGTTAATCTCATTTGATGAGCTTTTCGCCTGATTAGTCCTCAATCATGCACCAACAAAGAATGCAATATGATCAATCCCATGTTAAGTT